ATTAAAACTCTCTGGAGGTCCCTTCTAGCTCTGGATCTATGAATTCCTGTGATCCCTCTCCCCAGTTAATTTTTTTAAGATAATATTTAAAACAATTTTCTGAAAATCATTTTAAAAAATCCTATAACCAACCCATAACCCAGATAGCCAACATGTGTGACTTCTGATTGAGATCAGACTATAACGCAGGGGCAGCCTATCTGAGTTAAGTGCTGTTCTCCAAATTGGAGCAGCACAGGCTCCCTTTAAGATGATCTGGGCGTGTGCTTCCTTGGTATGGTTTTCTCATTAGATAAGTACTTTTCTGATGGATTGCCTTTGGGAAGTTCTTAGCTTACTGAACCGACTTATTCTGTAAGTTTCTCAGACTGTCTTTCCATGGTGGCTATAGGGGCCTGATCCATGATTATTTAAAGAGAAGCAAATCTTATATTCTGTTTTGGCCAGATCACATGTGGAGTATTTTGTTCTCTGGATGTCCTTCAATAAACATTTATTAAGTGCTTATTATGTTCTAGGCACTGCAAAGCACTGGGTTATAAAGAAAATAAACATGGTTCCTGCCTTCAAGGAACTCATGCTCTAATGGAGACAATGTGAAAAATTTGAACTTGACAAGATTTTTGCAGTGGAATGGGAAGGTAATCTCAGAGGAAAGCAGTAGAGTGTGTGTGTTTTAATCTCAGAGGAAAAGCTCTGTGTATTTGTGTTCGTGGTGAGACGAGCAGACGTGTGCTGACCTAACTGGGAAAGGCCTACCTAAGGTGGGATTTGAGTTGAGTCTGCAAGGAAGTTAGGAGATAGAACATGAGGGACAGCCAGTGAAAAGGCAGAGCTACAAGATAGTGAGCAGGGAATAACAAGGAGGTGAAGTCAGTATCCCTGGATTGTAGAAGGAATTTTGTAGATAGGAAGACAGATTAAGGACGAGAAGGCAAATAAGGAATCACTGAAGTTTATTGAGTAGGTTAGTGACAGAGTCAGACCTATACTTTGGAGAGATCACTGATATCTGAGTGGGGGATGGATTGGAATGAGAAGAGACTTGAGGCAGGGAAATCTATTAGAAGTCTTGCAGTATTCCTACATAACAGGGATAAGGTGAGGAGGGCCTACACTGATGTGATTAAAAAAAAAAGGGGACTTACTTTTAAGTAACTTTTTAGCTTTTTAGAGATGCGAAGGTAAAAACAAGGCTTGGCAACAGATTGTATATGTGGGGTGAGAGTGGGTTAAGAAGTTGCTAGATTTAATGGCTGGTTTCTTTTCAGTCTTCAGACTTCTTGACTTCTCTGTAGCCCAATACTGTTGATGACCTTTTCCTGTATACTCTGGGTTTTTGTGATATTGGTCTCTTCTAATTCACTCCTTAGTCTCCTCTGTTGGTTCTTTATCCAAGTCATGCACATTTTAGGAAAGTTACTGACAAACTGAAGTGGATTTTGGGGGATGGGTGGAATCAAGATGGGAAGAGTGTGAGAGACCATGTTTTAAATGAATCAAGTGAAGGAATTGAGAATGTTTAGCCTAAAGGAGTGACTTTGAGGGTGGGCTGGGAATTTAGTCTTTGCACATTAAAAGCATCCTTGTGTGTGAGAGGAATTAGAACTTGTTGCTAGGCCTACTGGGAGGCTGTTACAGAGGTGCTTTCTGCTCATCTTGAGAAAGGATTCTTAATAAGTAGAATTGTCAAATAGAGGAATGGGCTGCTTGAGGAGGCTAGAAACTGTCTTTTGAGATCTTTAAGTAGAGACTTAGATGATAAGGATATTGTAGACTGTGATTCCTGTTTTACATTAATGACCGGACTTGAGGACCTCTGATGTTCCTTCTGGCTCTGAGAGTGATTCATTTATCGCTTACTTTGCTGCAGGCAGAGGCTGAATTAACAGTAGTTTTCCTCAGGTACCGAAAGCTTGCTTGAAAGGAAGTGGGTGCATACTTTGGCCACCAGATACAGAGAGGATACGTAGCAGTCTGTTTGTTATACAGTGTTTATTAAGTAGATTCAGTCTTATATATGATATACAGATTCCAAAGAAAAAGGATTCCACGTACTTATGAAATCAGTGCATTTAGCAAGTAATACCATGGAGAGAACAGCTTGATTAACAGCTCATTGGTCTTTTGTTAAGTGAGGGGGAGGGCGTTGGCCTGTGCTAATCATTCCACAAACAAAACAGAATTCAGTTGCATCACATAGAATAGACACACATTCTAAGAATTAAAATATTAAGCCACATTTACTGGAAAAACCCACTATATAGAACACAAATAATTTTTATAGAGAGCATTGAGGAAGAAGTCCTCATCTGCTTAAAAAAGCCACATTAAGTTGCATAGGTGCATCTCTGTAAAAATATAATTTCGAGGTGAAACAATTGATTAAGCAGTAAAGTGTCACCTTTAGAAGTTGGAGTCCTTCCGTTGTCTTAAGTGCCATATTCGTGCTATCTAAGCCTCTCCCAAAAGGTGGTTATTTCTTCCTGGGTCCCTAAGTGTCCCAAGTAAGTACTGAAGAAACATTGGAAAGTCTTCAATTCTTATCTCCTCAGTATCAGATTTACACTTTTCTACCAACCTGTATTTGTGCCAGAAGGTGAAGGCCATAAGGGTTGTCCCCTTATAGCCATTTGGACCCAAAGGCTAGTATAACCTCTGCTTTTCCATCCTTTTATCATGAGGAGAATGAGACCCATTTAGGTCCTGACAGTTCTCCATCTATGCCACTTACCAACCAGAGATCAAGAGGTGTCCTTACTTTGACTATCACTGCTCGACCAACCACAAGACAAAGGACCATGGGCCATCCATGCAAAAAAGGAAATGATTTGCTAGTTCCATAAGTATTGGTAGCAAATCCTAGTTCTATTGTGGTGAGTTTAAAAAAATTATTTTTTTTCTCTTTTAGGTGGAAACATAGGTAAGAGAGAAGAGATTTGTGGCTTTGCTAAGCAGATGAGTTGAGTGAGGCGCATCTTCCTCCTCAACAGCGAGTCTTGCAGACCACACAGGGATGGGGGGATCTGTACATGTAAACAGTACACTTTCACTGAGTCCAAAATTAGGAGCCAAAAGACAAAGGTTCACATTGGTCTTAGGTAGATACAGGCAAAGAACTGAGCTCTTGAGCTCGGAACCAACAAAAACCAAAAATTTCTAAAGCACCACTAAATTATATAAAAATCAGACCATGGACGGATTGAAACTGGTATTCTGGTGAAATACTACACTACCTTGTAAAAAGTTTTACAAAAAATTACAAATTAAAAGTATATTAACCCTCTGAGTTCAAAGCAGCATTTTGAAAATGGACTGGTAGTTAATCCGCCAGCCACCCCTGGAGTTGTGAGTGGCCCTTTGGATTCGGAGTAGACGGGTCTCACCTGTTTGGAAATCCTCTGAACGCTTTTCCCCCTCATTACAACACTGTCCTCAGGAATTGAATAATCGATGTGTACAAGGTATGAAGGTAAGATGAATTTCAGATGGGTTAAACACAATCATGGGTTTCCCCATGGGTTTGATCTTCTACAAAGTCCCAAGTCCTGATCACCTCTCTCCTCATTAACACCAATCCTCCTTACTCTTCCAAAACCTGTCCCAAACATTCTTGCTGTTCATTTTCCCTTTTTTCCTTTTCCTCTTAAAATCCAAAATGGAGTTTAACCCTTGGGCCCTTCAGCAAGAATTCAGGACATTTGGGACATAGCTTTTGAAACAGCCTTAGGGAGCAGAGCTGTAGTTGGAATGGAGACCAGGGCAGATGTGAACATGTTCTTCAGGCCTACAGCCAGAACAAGCATGCTGGTACTTGGGAAGAGATAGTGAGGAGTACGGGGTGGGAGGGGAAGAAGCTGCATCTTTTAAATGAGGGGGAAAAAAAAAAGGCAAACCAAGAACCCAAGAAGTTTCTGTTACTCTACTAGGAAATGGGGTCCTGTTTCCACTTAATAACCTGCTCCAGATTCTGCCATTCATTATTAGGGCTTCAAAACTGACTGACCCACCAGGTGCAGGTTAAACCTAGGAGGTGACGGTGACATGATGGGGAATCTATTGTCCTTCAGAAGCTGCACCTGAGAGTCCTGTCTTCTCCCAGTGGCATGTGTTTTATATTAAACCTACACTCTTACCACAATACTAAGGCAGGGCCGAAAGTGATCTGTTGAGACGCTTGAACTCAGAAAAATCCAACTTCAAATTGTAGCAAATGCTGCTCTTTATACAGTCCCTTGTGAGGGGAACCTCTCCCCATGTCTGTCTTATGTCATAGTGTGTCAAGAGACTGATAGCTATGGGATTAGCCTGGTTGCTGCCTCAGGAAGGTGAAACATGTAAGCAATCGATAACAAGAATTCTAAGGTGGCGATTGTCTCAGCCATTTTTTTTTTAACATTAAGACTCACAAATTGCTGGGGGTAACATTTTGCAAAAGGTCTGTTGGTTATTTTGTAGTATTGTTCACACACAAAAATAAATATTTACACAAATTCAAATGTTGAGAGTGTGTGTGTGTGTGTGTGTGTTGGGGCAGTGGGGACTAGGGGGGTGCTGTGATCTGAATGGTACATGGTCTGGGAAGTGTGTAAGTGTAGGGGAAGAGGCTTTGGGCACTGAAGTTTGTGCTGTGATGTGGATCTGTCTTGGCTGTTTCAACCCTGATGAGGCCTAGGCTGCCCAAAAAAATCAGTCAGGGAAAAGGCTTATTTTGACAGAACTGGTGTGATTAAAATGGCATGTGGGAGCCCTACTGTCCCTGGGAACAGGGTATATAAGAGAGAAGACTATACCACTTTTAGTGGGGGGTTGAAAGGCAGAGTTGTGGGTTCCTCATCTTTCGGTTGCCCCTTGTCCTTTGCCACTCATCCAGGGGCCTTCCTGGTTAGAGCCAGGTCATAGGTTTTTGTGCCTGGAAGGAGGAATAGTCCAGTCTAGTTCCCTCCCTCCCATCCTGAGGGAAGCCTGCCACTATCTTGAATGC